TGTATAATATATTATTTATTACTCTATATTACAATAACATTTAATTCAGTTAATTTAAATTAATTTCATTTTAATTTTACATAAATTATGAAGAAATTGTTATAATTGATCTTCTTGTAGTAAAAATTTTCTAGTAAAACGAAACATTTATTTAATTATTAATTATTAATAGACTCCATTCTATTTTAAGAATAAGACAACAAACCGAAACGGACTTTCTTTGTCCAACTAATGCTAGAAGTCTATTCCTGCATCAGTGATTCCTTGCTTCTCAGTGGTGCTTGCATCAATGATGCGTGCATCGCAGCATGTTTTAACGTCAATGGGGGCCTTTAGATATAAATATATATAATTTATAAAAATATATATAATTTACTATATATTATATAATAATATATAATAATATATAATTTATTATGTATATATATATATACATATGATTATTTAAATAGATGTAATCAACGCAATAGCTGCTTCGTTCGATGTTCGGCGATAGTTGAAATGGTTAGGCCCGATGTGGACGAGTGGTATACGACCGGTCGCCATGACGACGGTGTTTTGAAAATGGACATACGGAGTTGTTTTGCTTCATAAAAAGAAGGATAAGAGAACTTTCTTTCTGTTTTTTCAAAGAAGTCGCCATTATGGCGGTTTGTTTCTTTGCATGATAAGTTCGCACATATTTAGCTTGATCCGAATTTATCATAGATTGTTGATTTCGATCATCTAAATGTGATCAATCGTGATTTGTAAAAATTTGAACAGATCGGTTGCTATAAACCAGAAGCTTACTTCTTCCCTGATCAGAAATAACCGCTCTAAAGTCAGTATCATGTATTGCATCTAATATTTCTAAAATATAATTTAATTCGTCTTTTAATACTCCAGATTTTGTTATAAAAAAAGTCAGTAATTGTTTTCAATTCAAAAATAGCCCACGTAGCATAAAAACAAGTACTCGTGAGCCCACGGCTGTATTTTTATCTAAAAATCCCAAATCTTCGAAACTTTCAATAATTTGTATATTTATTTATTATTCGCATATACTACGAGATGGTATTGAAATTACAATAAAAAAATGTTATAATAAATTATACCAAATATGGTATAACTTATTTTGATATACTGTTTCCTAAGAAATTCTCTGAAATGTGGCATTTTTTGAGGGTTTAAAAATATATTTTATTAATTTTTATATTATATTATTCTTTATAAATTAGAGAAGAATATATATATTATTCTTTATAAATTAAAGAAGAAACAGAAAAACAAAAAATCGCTTAGTCATCTGCAGTATGTTGAAAAGCTTTGGTTGAAAGGAAATTTTTATCAAACTCATGGTCAAGCTTCTTTGATCTTAAGTTTCGATAAAATCAGTTTGAATATATATATAAAACAGGAATTCAATAAAGTTGCAAGGTTTGGTTTCAACGAAATAAGCTTGGAAGATATGAAACAACATATTACTATAATACATGCCTTAATAAACCGAAGATGTATTTTGACAATTACTTTATAAAATATCACACAAAGAACAAATACGATGCATAATATTCAATAGATTTTGTTTTTTAAGATGTAAAAATATCTAAAATATTAAAATTATTATTTGTATACATTTGTTCGTGTATAAAATCGTCCTAAAATAGCCGTAAGAAACTTGTCTAATATTCGCAAAATCATTTCAAGTTGCTAGTTCGCCCTAGCAAAAGAATCGTTGAAGGATTAATTGAACATCGCAGTTTTTAGTTGTACATTCTCCCGTTTCACTGGCGTTGTAATCTTTTTTCAGACTGATAATACCGTGACACGAAAATGGCGGGTCAGGTAACCTCCAAAAAAGTATTGGATGTCCGGTTCTATCCTATTCTTAGTCAATGATTGTATGCAATATTTATTTATATACCTCGTCTGTGTTTGTGGATTATACCGTTAGCATTAAAATAAATTCATTCCTGAATATTATCCTGAAGCAATCACAAAAAGTATGCGTCAGCATATTCTTGACCGCATTTCAAAATGGGATCTCTTAGATTTAAATTTAGCAAGAAAGACGAATATAAAAGTCTCTGCAATCATCCACTGATTTTTAGTCTTGATTCTTTGATCTCCGATTTTTAGTTTTCATTTTTTAATCTTTTGTCGTCAATTTTTAACTTTAATCAGAATATATTATTATCAAAAATCTGGTTCTTGATCTTTGTTTTGAATATCCTGAATGGATATTTAGATCTCGGGCACATCGAAAACAACATTGTTCTCTCGCAAGTTTATATTTTTCGATCCCCGATTCTATTAAGTAATTGTTTCCGCGGAAACAATACTGTTATGATATAGAATTTTTAATAACTGGCCGAAACATTAATAACAATAATGGTAAGGGAGAAATAGTTAGAGATGCTGATTTAGAACAATAATTTATTCTGTAAAGAACTATCTTATCGATTTACTAAGCCTAGTGGACAAGTTATTGCATCTGCTTTCTTCAAATAATAATTGTCACTTATAATATTGATCAAAGTTAATAAAAAGCTGACTAATAATATATTCTAACATTATTCGATGTATTTACAATTTGCATCTGCAAATAGATGCTCTTTTTATTCGTATAATAAGAAAGATTTTATATTACAATATTCGTTCAGATTGCTCGTAGATCATAAATTACATACGAAGCGTAGTATCATGCAATATTAATGCAAATGCTTGTTAATTCCGAGGAGTTAACAAGTGTTTGCATTATACATAGTTCATCATTGAAAGTTTTCTGCACAATAATATAATAGTTTTCCGCCACTATATTATATTCGCCATTTCTGCTGTAAATTGACTTTTGTCATAACGTACATATACAATATATTCCTGCCGCTTGAGGAGTTAAACGATGAAATTTAATGCTGTAACTTGCCTTTAAAATAAAGTAAAATGACTGTAACAAGGAATAATAAAGTTCGATAGAGAATATTATACATATTCCAAATTTTTTGAAACTATTGTATAAATTATCATATTATTTTATTAATTTATTAAATTCTCGGTATTAAAAAATACATTGTACTGTAAAATAAAATATTTGCAATATTAGCCTTATATGTAATAGTTTTTACAATTTTTTTACATCTCATAAACTTATTCTACTGTATGAAATAATCAAAGTGCTCTTCTATAATTATTCGGGAAATGAACGGTAACAGATTTAACAAATTTATATAAACTATATAAATTATCGGTGCTTCAACTAACTGTAGAACATCTTTGCAAAATTTCCAAGCAATATTAAAAAGATTCTTATACATATATTTAAATTAAGAAAATTTATATATGCGATAAAAGAAATAATAATTTTATCTGTTAAGATAAAGCGACATCTTGTTATTCTTTTGTATTAAAAATAAAATTAACAGAAACGTAAATAAGCTTTGATTTTTTGTAAGTGATCTCTTTGTTTTTGATCTTTATTCCAAAATAACTATCGGAGCATTTTATTTTTTTGATCAATGAGAAACGATCACGATTCCATTTTTTCAGGAACAAATTCTTCCTCGAATTCAGTTTTTAATTCCGTCTCAATTTCTGATTGTTGATCTGCCTTTTGATCATTCTCTTCTATTTGCTCATCCACATTGATCTCTTCTTCTTCTTCTGCTGCTTCTGGAACCACTTCTTCTTTCACAGTCACTCCTTCATCGCAATTTCTTTTTTCGGCATCTTTTTTTTTTATTTTGAAGGTATTCTGTGTATTTTCATTGGGTGATGGCATGTCTCTCGGTCGATGAAATGTTAACATATGATGATCTAATTCTGCTCTGAAGAAGAATTTGAGTGTACATTGGGAACAATCATAGGGACGAGCACTCAGGCCGTGTTCTTGAAGCATATGATTCTAGAATCGAAAGACCAAAGATTGATATGCTATTATTAAAGTTTCTAAAAATTAAACAAAAAACAAGAAGAAAGAAGCAAGGACAAAGTTGAGAAAAGTGAGAGAAAAGAAAAAAAAATTTTAACAAAATAAAATATATATCTTTAAAAGTAACAGAATTATGATTTTATGATACCTGAAGACCAATAGGTGCGGTGAAGAGAGATTGGCAAATGTAACAACTGAGAGCGGCACATCCTGCGAAAGTATGTTCTATCAAATGACTTTGCAATTGTAATGGACTGCTAGCTTCAAAAAGACACAGATGACATCGTAATGTTTTTATGGAAGTCCTTCCCGATGTTTCTAGATGTTCTTTTCTTACATGTTGCTGAATTTTTGCCTCTGTTGGGAACGACATCTGAAAAAAAAAAAAAAATAAATGTCTTACAATACAAAATTTTATTATGTTAATTATATGATCTGCTTATTATAACTTTTATTACCTGACACTGTATACATGTGTATGTGTTCAACATAACTCCACTTATAACTTTTTCATGCTCGACTATCCTATGTTTTTCCACCTTGTCAGAATCTTCAAATTTCACCCCACAATCTTGACACTTCTTACTATCATGCCCTTCATTTTTATCTTCTTCATTCTCGGTTTCCCATTTATCCTTTGATTTATCCCATTGTCTATCTTTATTATTGGATGTCCAAGAAGCATCACATTTAATAGGCTCGTAAGGTGAATTCAAAATAGGTAGACCCTGAGAGTGTCGAATGTAACAAGATTTGCAAACCTTTAAAGACTGTCCTCCTCCACTTATATGACTTGGAGGTAAATTAACAAAGTCATCAGCTGAATAATCTCTTAAACAAAGACAACAACTTGGACTCTGATTCTTTTGATTAGGACTGGGGCTGGATGCCACACTGTGAGAGCCAGAAGTTTTTAAGTGGTGTCTGGCATGGAGACGACATTCCAAATCACTAATCAATGTCTGTCTACAAACTACACAAGCTGCAGGAAGATGGGGAAGAGAACCGTCTAATCTTTGCTGAGGATCCACATTCTCCAGACTGTGTCTTTGCATATGTTCTAGAAACTGTGATTCTGAAGATAGGTTTCCTCGACAAACGATACACGTGTCACTTAATTGAATCTTACAATGTTTCTGCAATTTATGTTCTGCAAGTGTTGCTCCTGATGGACACACTTCGTCACAAATATTACACTTGTGGCGTCCTCCAGGTTCACTTGATGCATGTTGAATCCTTGTATGAGATTCCAGATCAGTTCTAGAACGACATACTTCTCCACAGTATGCACAAGTCATGCTAAGATTTGATATAGACTTATTTTGAAACTTGGTCGGAGTGTGAACCAATTTTTTGTGAGCTTGAAGTTCTGCTTCGTTAGAAAACTCTCCTCTTTCGCAGAGATCGCATTGTTGAGAGGATGCATTAGTGTAATTTGGACGTTTATTGTTGTTGTCACGTTGATTCAGAGAGTTGTTGTTGCTGGAGGCTGGAGAGCGACCTCTTTTTTGGGACTTGGCCTATAATAGGAAAAATTGAAAAAAATGTAAAAATTGAAAAAGAATGATTGACCAAAGAATTTAGAATTTAAAGTTTGATTTTATTAATCTAAATTTTGGTATTTTCTGAAATAAATATTGAATTACTCTATTCATCTATATTATTATCTATGATAATATACTGTAAATCAAGGAGAATTCTTTTCATACTTAAACATTACATATATACCTCTTCCTGTAATCTTGGTAATCTACCAATTCTTCCATTCTCTCTACTTCTCGTGACATCCTGATGGTCATTAGAATGATGTGCTTGAGTAATATGTCTGTCTAATAAAAATTCCACAGCAAATCCTTCTCTACAAACAGGACATCTATATAAGTTAGCAGAATGGCTGGCCAAATGGAGTTGTAATTCCAGCTCGGAACTACAACAGATTCCACAGAAGACGCATCTTGGTCCGGAATTCCCAGTTATTCCTGGAGTGGAAGCAGGACTCCTAGCCACAGGACTATTATTTGACATCGTAGGAGGTGCGTGGACATTTCTTACATGGTTTGTCATTTCAGACTCACTTCGGAAGAAACTTTTTCCTTCTTCTGGCGCATTTCCCGGCGAATTTTCATTATTAGACACTGTGCAAGCATTGCATCTATAGATTCTGCATTCTTGACTGTGTTTCACAGCAAAATGAACTTGTATTGCCACTCTAGAATCAAAAGTATCTCTGCACAAGGCGCATCGATAGAGATGATGAGCATGACTGTCGAGTAAATGTCTCTGAAGAAGATCAGGATGAGGATAAAGCTTCTTACATGCGCCACAAGCATATTCTTTACTAATCTGGCCCAAATAATGTTTCGTCAAATGTACCAACATGTCTTCCCTATCTTGAAAAGTGGCTTCACACTTCAAACAAGGGTGTCTAACATCATTTCTATGATCAGCTTGAAGATGTCTAGCTAAGTGTTCCCTGAATGATTCAAAGTCCTTTAAAGCAGCTCCACACTGTCCACATAACAATGTACCAGCTGTATAATTATTTTCTGTACCGGTGGAATGCTTGTTAGTCAAATCAGCTGGCTCAGAAGACGTTTGCTCCTTACATTTCTGACTTCTGGTCTGACTCTTGGTGTCATAATTTCCATTCATCTTAGAATCTGTATAGTCTCTAATTTCTAGGAGACCTGTTCTTCGATTTTCACAGTGTTGGAGAACATAGTGTTCTGCATAAGTCGCTGCAGAAGTGCAAGGAATGCCACAAAGAGGACACATCATCAAAGCAGAGCAAAAACCATCGGTTCTATGAATCGAAACCAAATGATCTCTTAATGAGTTTAACGTAGAGAATCTCATAGTACATTGACTGCATGTAAATGCGTTTTCATAGTGATCTTTCTCAATAGATTTTTCTGAATCATCTTGATATTTCCTTTTGTGTTCTTTAGATGATCCTTCTGGCTTTCTATCAAAAGTCTTTTCATGCTGATAACTTATTTGTTCATTGGTTCTGTTAGTTGATGGAGATACTGCAACAGTTTCTCCACTTAAGATAGCTTGATGCATCGTATGCACGTGCATCTGAAGTTGTTGCATACAACTGAAGGTATCTCTGGTACAATACATGCAAGCTAACTTCAGTGGAGAGCTCAGAATCGGAGTTGTCGAAGCACTTCCTTGAGTATTTTTTATACCAGTTTTGGAATTTAAGACTATATTTAGAGATGGCGATGGAGAGCTTGGTACTGGCGGCGATGATGTACTGTGAGAAGATACACTTCTTCTACCGTAGTCGATGTCCTGGAGTTTGGATGTTTGAGATTGATGATGTTTCTTGTGAGATTGCATGTGGGACGTTAGGGCAGCTGCTGTGTTATAACCTCTGGAACAGGTTGTGCACTGATACGGCTTTTGAGTGTCATGGGTCTTCATATGAATCTTCAGGTGGTCACTAGAAGTTAAATTATATTTTTAAGAAAATAATTTATTATTAGTATTACTAATATTACTATTATTATTATTGTTGTTGTTGTTGTTGTTGTTGTTATTATTTATGTAGATTGTTAACTTGATTATTTTTTTTAAGAAGAATTGATTTGTTATTTTTAAAGATAAATCGATTAGCAAATTTTACATTAAAAACATTAAAGAGAACATTTCAATCTTTAAGATCATGCTGCAAGTATGAGAAAATTTTTTCAATGATTTTAGAAATATTTAAATTTTGAGAACAAAAATATTCTTAGTTTCTGTTGCATGTATCATTCGTTGCATGATCTTTCAATACCTTTGAAAAAAACGAATTTAACGATTGTCAAAGTTTTAAAAAAAAGTTTAAATTTCAAAGTCAAAAAAGTTTAAGTCAAAGTTTCAAAGTTTTAAACTTTTTCTTTTGGGAATTATTAAGTAATCATAAAAGGATAAAAGATTTAATTCTGTTGCAAAAAGTAAAATAGTTTAATAAAATTAAATGCAGCCGGTAGCAATTTTTATATGTATTTCAGTCTTAATGTTTTAAGAAGATGTTTAATAGAAAATGTTTAATACAAATCAAGAAATTATCTATACTATAGGAATTTTTTCAAATTTCAGATATTTTTTAGGTTCAGAAAAATGCAAGTTGGTCGAAAGAGCGTAGCAGAATTAATATGTTAAATGTTAGTTTTTTGTACACAATAATTTTTTAATATTGTAGAAATAGAAAATTTCTTCAAAGAAAAATAATGATTTCTTTAAATAAATAAACATTTTATTCGTAATATTACTTTTCTATAATAAAATTATAATTTAAATTATATTTTTATTTCTCAGAAAAATATAAAAAGAAATTTGTTTTGTCTAAAAAATATGAAGAAAAGTATGGGAGCTTTAAATCTCTATGAGATATATATCTGTATATATTTGCACACACACACGCACACACACGAGAATATATTTCTAACAAAACAGCTTCATTTAATCCGAAATTTCGAGATAAAAAAAATCTTCAATTACAACTACGATGGAAGACGATAGAATGATCACTTAGTTGAAATCAATTCTTTTATTTACGAATTTACGAAAGATATCGCTTTTGATCCATGACATATTGACAAAAATAAAGAGACGCGGGTAATAAGTCAACGATTTTCCCCTGTGCATGTGTTATTAGACAGATGAATAATTCATCGAGTCGGTGGAAAACTAAATCCGTTATAAGGTGAGGTCACCGGTTCGGTCCAACCGGTCAGTGTCTCGGCTCGTTCAGAAACGAAGACAGACAGCAAATTCGCTTTTGCACTTTACGTTTGAATAATTCATGTGTACCAGGATAATCGATGTGGTTACGCTCTGGTTGTCCTATTATCGTGTTTATTGCCTCCGTGTGATTTCACTTGGTGAAATTTTGGAAAAGAACTGGAAAGCATGGATCAAAACTGAAGAAAATAATCATTTTCTCATGTTTCTAGGCATTTCAAGTGTACAACTTTCTTGGAAATGTTTATTATGGAGAATAGCTAAGATTGAATAGCGTCCTGTATTTAGAAATTATGTACATATTCACATAGATATATTAATGTTCTAGACAATTATAAAAAAGGAGTATACGAATATAATTATGAAAATAGATGAGAAAGAAAGAACTTTAGAAATCTCTTTTACGAATTGCTCTGATATCCTAGATAGTTTAAACTTAAATATTTAGAAACTAGAGAAGAGCGTATTTCATTGCATGAAATATTTTTCATGAAATGTCAAGAAATAAGAAAGTTTAATATGAAAGATTAGCGGCTATTGTACATTATTAGAAATGTAATTTTTTTCTTTTTTTCTATAATTACTAATTATAATATCAGTACTGTATTTATGTGGGAAAGTTACAGAAATTAGAAAATTCGAAAATCTTAAAACTTAAAAGAATAATCTAATTAATGTAGATAATTTAATATAGATACATTTAAAACAGAGATTAGATTATATTTAATAAAGATCCAGAGAAATTCTTTAAAGATTCTTATTAATATAAAATCATTAGTAGATATAATTTTTCAGTTTGGTAATGAATTTAATACTTCGCAATTCTCAGGGAAAATTTAAGTTTTGTTTAAAAAAACACTCACTTTAGATAATATATTTTCAGTTAATGAATATTAAGATATGACTTTTTGTCAAATTAAGAAAAAGATGTTTGACGTTACATTTTTTTTACGATTAAGCGATAACTGGTTGAGCGTGTATTTCGATCGATCTCGATCGTTGTTATTCAGATTTCTCGTGGCTGCAGGATCTAAGAACCACAGGGGTTTTCACTCTTTTGTTGGGTCACAAGCCGACTGTCAAGCTGGAAGAACGAATAGAGATGTGGCGTAAAGATCCAGCAATGCGATTGTAATGGCTGACAAGCTAAGTTTCTGTTACGACTTTTTATTTTCATTTATTGTCAGATTAAGGAAAAATACTAATTTACTCTCTGTAAAATATTAATCTCTAAATTTTGTGAAATTTAGAAATAGAAATATTAATTTATTTTTGGAAATACAAAATATTATTTCTAACACATTATTTTAGATTTAGGTTTAAATTAATTTTTTTGTTTTAGGTTTTAAAAATCTAAGAGAAGTCTGAATGAGAAAAAGTTTAGAATTCATATTTATACAAATTCATATTTTTAAGAATATTAAATAAATATCATAAAAGAACATTATGTTTTGGATATTTTATATTATTTTTCATATTATATGCATTCTTCGCAGAATAATTTTCCACTAAACATTTTCTATAAAAGTCCGAAGTTCAGTTATTAATCGCTCATTGTAAATTTATTGATAATATCATGTTATATGTCAATTATTAAATGTCATAATGATTTAAATATTAAATATTAAAAATCCTCAATCAAGAGGAAGACAAGTTTAATTTAATAGTGTAGTGGTGGACAAAATGATAGCACATGTGTGCTATCTTTAATTTCTCGAAAATGAGTTGGAATATTTTAAATATTGCAAATAGTATATGTAAATATATGTGAATGTCATGATAAGGAAAAGGAATCTATTATTAAACAAAGTCGTTCCCATTAATATGCAGCAAAGGTTAAATTATATACATACTTGAGCTACTATTAATATTATTCATTAGTTTATAATCTGCTAAACAGATAAAATAACTATCCAGTCTTGTGTGATAAATCATGGTCTTTGGAAGCAAATTATTGAAATTGAAATTTCAAAGATTATCGAGCTAAAAATTGTTCCTAAAATTTCAAAAATTATTAAAGTCACGTATAATTTGTTAAAAAATTCTGTTATGGAAAAAAGATATCGTGGAAAAACATCATATTATTAGAATGATAAAACAGGCCATTATACGAAACACCGTTAATAATGTAATAATTAATATTCGCAAAAGACCGGAGAAATTTTATTTATCAATGGAAAAAGAA